GGTGAAACTCCGTCTCTACTAAAAATACAAAAAAATTAACTGGGCATGGTGGCGCGTGCCTGTAACCCCAGCTACTCAGGAGGCTGAGGCAGAACTGCCTGAACCCAGGAGGCGGGAGGTTGCGGTGAGCCGAGATCGCGCCATGGAACTCCAGTCTGGGTAACGAGAGCGAAACTGCGTCTCAAAAAAAAAAGAAAAAACAAAAAAACAGGAGCCCGACCTCGCTGCTGCTTCCCAGTGGGCCTTCACCTACTCAGAGGTGCCCACAACCCGAGTGCGACCTCGGCCTACACTACTGGAACGGATACCAGCAGCACGAACACAGCAACCCAGCGAAGCGCTCAGCACGGGTTCGTATTCCATGCGGAGCCGCAAAACCGGCAAGTACAAGTGTCGCACCATCCTGACGACAGGGCGTAGTCAGGTCCGGCGCAACGAATAGCCGCCTGGCTTGTTGGTAGGTGTCAGGCAGCGCTTACTGATTGGCCGGTGCGGAGCCAGCCTTCTTCCCTCGATCTCGCGTTGTCAGCGCGTTGCATCACCTCAGCGCGCCGGCTCATAGCTCTCTTGCCGGCGGAATTGCTGCTAGACTTGGTGTCCCGCGCGGCTATCCAGGTACGCGGGGACCCTCAGGTACGCCTGTTCTTCCCTGCAATATCCGGCCCTCAAAGGCAAGGGGCACGCACGCGTTACAACCCCAAAACAGTAGCACACGATTTAATTTTTAAAAGAACGTGTTTCTTCAGGGCTTTCCTTTCGTTCATTTCCAGCCTTACTGAGTTTATGGTCGCCTTTTTTTAATGAGGTGGTGTTTGAAATGAGTAAAATCTTTTGAAAAGGATACATTATACATAGTATAAATTGGTACAGCTGTGACTTTATGTATAGGTAATACGTCTTTTTGTGTGTCTTAGTTTATTGCCTTTAACGGCTGCATGATTATTGATGTACCGTAATTTACTTGACACCATGAATATTTAAATTGTTTTCAGTTATTTGCCTGTAGAAACAATTATTCGGTGAATGTCACTGCGTCCGTATTTTGTACATTTGCGTGAGTGTACCTGTGGAGCATATGTTCATAGGATATAACTAAATTGAGGAAAGGTTTGAAATGGTCCCACCTTGAGGTTACATTTGACATAATTATGAAGACCTGAGAATAAAAAGGGGAAACAGAAATGCATTTAGAGCAGAATGGAAAAGAAATAGACTTCTAGGTAGAATCCATATGACTTGATGATTAATCGGATGTGTCTGTCTTCCGAGTAGTGTCAGGGTGACTCAAATGCATTGCCTAGGTAATGGGAAGAATATTGGAACCGCTCATACGGTAGAGTTAAAAAGGAAAGCAACTGTGGAAAGAAAGATTATGAAAGTTTAAACAAAACAATGATTTTATTGTGCGTTTCCAAAATATATTGAGGCGAAATACTATGAGAAGGTGAATAATTTTGAAGTGAATGTCAAGGAGAGTGGTCTCGAAATTGCTGAACAGGAAGTTGAGGTGAAGAAGTTGTGGAACAAGGAAGAATGAAGGGCCTGGATTGTGAGAAGGAAACAAAGGGTATGGCATCCCTCTGCACAACCTGGCAAGGTTAACCTACCTTGTCCCCTGCCCTGTGGTTGCTGGATGCTGTTGTGTATGTGCAGCTCTCCAGTGGATACGATGGGCCATAGCAATCCTGTGATTTATGCATGGAGGCTGCTTCTCCTCAGCAGCCGCCATAGCCCGGTCACTGGAACATGGTTCTTCCTGAATAGTCAATGCTGTTATACTGAGTCTTTATGCTTAGCGTAATAGTGCAGTGATTTTTAATTTTGGGGGGAAAGCAGAGATTCCCTAAAAAACACTGTAAAAACTGAATGAGCTTACGACGCACAGTGGCTCATGCCCGTAACCCCAGCACATTGGGAGGCCGAGGCAAGAGGATCAATTAAGCCCAGGAACTGAAGACCAGCTGGGCAACATGGCAAAACCCTGTCTCTACAAAGAAAACAAAACAAACAAACAGACACAAAAAACTGAGTGTGGTGGTGCACACCTGAAGTCTTAGCTACTTGGGAGACTAAGCTGGGAGGATCACCCAAGCCCAGGGAGGTCAAGGCTGCAGTGAGCCATGATTGTACCATTGCACTCCTGCCTGGGTGACAGAGTGAGACACTGTCTGGGGAAAAAAAAAAGTTATGGCCCTCTTCCCAGAAAGCTTAAATCTCATTTTCTAAAAAAACAAAAATTCAGATAGACATTCCTGAATAATTGTCAGAACAGTGCAAGAGTGGTGATGTTCAGACTTTGATGTGAATTTTCATTCCCTAGGGATCTTCTTAAAATGCAGGTTCTGACTACTAGATGCGAGGTGAAGCTGGGAAGTCTCCATCTGTAATAAGCTCCCATAGGCTGGGTGTGGTGGCTCACACCCATAATCCCAGCCCTTTGGGAGACTGAGGCAAGCGGATCACGAGGTCAGGAGTTCCAGGCCAGCCTGGCCAACATGGTGAAACCCTGTTTCTACTAAAATAATACAAAAATTAGCTGGGCATGGTGGTGTGCACCTGTAATCTGAGGCAGGAAGCTGAGGCAGGAAAATTGCTTGAACCCAGGAGGCAGCGGTTGCAGTGAGCCGAAATTGCACCACTGTACTCCAGCCTGGGTAACAGAGCAAGACTCTGTCTAAAAAAAAAAAAAAGAGAGAGAAAAAAGCTCCCATAGATGTGGGCCATTGTAGGACCAGCCTAGAAGAAGCGATAAAGGTCTTTGAAGTGATGAACGAAATGTGTTGATATCTAAAGGTCTGTTAGTCTTCAGATAACAATCTCATAAGTTTCAGTTGGCCACTGATAAGGTACCCAATGTACCTAAATAAATCAGTAATTGCACAAACACTTCTTTTGATCCTTGAAAGGCTAGAGGTTGTAGTAAGAGTTGAACATCTAAAACCTTGCAATTTCTGTTTAATACTTTTTAGTGGTATACTGTGATCAGAAATAGCTATTTCAGTTAATCAAACAGCCCAACTGTTCTTACCCTGTTTTTTCTTAACTTAAACTCAGAAGCACTCATACATCTGAAAATTTAATGAAGGTGAAAGAAAATGAAAGATACTACTTGTCACAGGCTTTTTTTTTTTGATAAATTGAATCAATAACTTACTTAGACTATGATGCTTTTGATGCTTTCAGAACTGTTTGAGGTATGTAGGTGTCTTTTCCTGTAGAGTTGATTACAGGAACCAATGTTGTGGTTCTTGATTACTTAAGGTTTTTTATCTTCTCTGTTGTTCTCTTATTAGCAATTCTGTTCCCTTCTAATCTGCTGTTGACTTGGAAATCTTGCACCTACCTTGTTAGAGTTGTTAATTAAAAATAAATAGACTTTGAGAAGGAAAGGTCTCAAGGATGCTCACTAGATGCTTTAAGTCAGCTCACTAGATACTTAAATCACAGATTGATCAAGTGTCTCAAGAGGTTATTAGCAAAATGTTTAAAAGACACTTTAAGACTTCCCACTAGAGACTAAAAAGTTATACCAGTTTTCCTCAAAGAGAAGATGAAGTTATTTCAAGAGAACTGATTTCTGTCATGTGAGTGTAGGTAAGAAAATTCTTAAGTTATTTTGAGATTTTTTTCTTCAGATTGTTAATGAGTTTTTGCGCCCTCAGATAGAATTTCCAAGATTTTCTTGCTTACTTTTGGAAATATTGTCTAGCATTACTGAGTATTAAGTAATACCAAGTACCTTTCCCTCACCATATACAAAAATAACTCAATATGATTCTTGGTCTAAATGTAAGCTAAAAGTCTGTAACCTTGTTTAGGTAATGGTTTATTAGATGACACCAAAAGCTTAAGCAACGAAACCAAAAATAGACGAATTGGGCATCATTAAAATTAAAAATTTTCTATTTCAAAAATACCATCACTAAAATAAAAAGACAGCCCACAGAATAAGAAAAGCTTTTTACTAAAAATACTAAAAATTAGCTGGGCATGGTGGCGTGTGCCTGTAACCCCAGCTACTCAGGAGGCTGAGGCAGGAGAATTCCCTGAACCCAGGAGGCGGAGGTTGCGGTGAGCCGAGATTGCGCCATTGCACAAGAGCGAAACTCCGTCTCAAAAAAAAAAAAAAAAAAAGAAAAGAAAAGCTTTTTACAAATCATATATCTTCTAAAGGATTTGTATCCAGAATGTATAAATAACCCTTAAAACTCAACCATAAAAAGACAGCCTAATTAGAAAATAGGCAAAGGATAAATAAATATCTATCCAAAGTGGATACACAAATGGCCAATAAGCACATGGAAAGATGCTCAGCATCATTAGTCTTTAAGGAAATGCAAATCAAAACCACAAGATACTATTTAACATCTCCTAAGATGACTGTAATCCAAAGATGGACAATAAGATGTTTTAGGTAGGATATAAAGATATTAGAATCCTTATTCACTGCTGAGGGAATGTAAAATAGTACAGTCACCTTGGAAAACATTTTGGCATTTTCTCAAAAAGTTAAATACAGAATTATCATGTGACCCAGAAATTCTGCCTCTAGCTACATACCCAAGAGAAATGAAATGTAGATCCACACAAAATTTTGTACATGAATGTTCCTAGCACCATTATTCACAATAACCAAAAAGTGGAAACAATACAGGTGTCCAAGAAATGATGAATGGATAAACAAAATGTGGCATATTCATGAAATGGAATACTCTTCAGCTATCAGAAGTAATGACGTATGAATACATATTACATTGTGGATGAACGTTGAAAATGTGCTAGAGAAAGGGAACCAGTTGCAATAGGCCACATGTAGATGATTTATATAAATTTTTCCATTTATATGGAATGTCCAGAATAGGTAAATCTATAGAAGCAGAAAGAAGATAGGTTGTTGCCACTGGCTATGGAGAAGAAAGAATGCGGAGTGGCTGCTAATGGTTATGGGATACTTTGGTGGGGAGGGGAGGTTGAAAACATTTTGAAATTACATAGTAGTAGTACTCGCTTCGCTAGCACATATACTAAAATTGGAATGATACAGAGATTAGCATGGCCCCTGCACAAGGATGACGCGTATGTTTGTGAAGTGTTCCATATTTTTGATGATTTTTTCGAATTTTGTTAAATTCTCATTGAAATATAGAAGTATCATGTATTTAACTGTTCTCTTATTGTCGAACAATTAATTTTTGACACATTTTCACTACAGTAAATAATATAATGAACATCAAAAAAAGAAATTAGATAATAGTAATAATTATACTACCTTGTAAATATACTAAAAAGCCACTGAATTGTACACTGTACATAACAGTATGTAAATTGTACATCAATAAAGCTATAATTTCTTAAAAGTATGGATAGTGTCATACATACACCCATGTTAATAATATGGTACTCTGTTATTCCTAGATTTCTCTTTTGACAGTAACAAATTTGATTTCTTTTACAGCAGCAAAATGGTTCAACAAGTTCCAGAAAACATAAATTTTCCTGCTGAAGAAGAAAAAATCTTGGAATTTTGGACTAAATTTAATTGTTTTCAGGAATGCTTAAAGCAGTCGAAACATAAACCAAAGTATGTGAATTTCTTAGGTAAAGGGAAAGTCCTTAAGAATAGTTATTTCTTGGGCCGGGCGTGGTGGCTCACGCCTGTAATCCCAGCACTTTGGGAGGTCGAGGCGGGTGGATCATGAGGTCAAGAGATCGAGACCATCCTGGCCAACACAGTGAAACCCCGTCTTGACTAAAAATACAAAAAAATTAGCCAGGCGTGGTGGCACGTGCCTGTGGTCCCAGCTCCTCGGGAGGCTGAGGCAGAAGAATCGCTTGAACCCAGGAGGCCGAGGTTGCAGTGAGCTGAGACTGGGCCACTGCACTTCAGCCTGGTGACAGAGCAAGAGTTCATCTCAAAAAAAAAAAAAAAAAAAAGAATAGTTATTTCTTAAACTGAATCCCATTAGAACAGACACTCTTTTTTTTTCTTTGAGATGGAGTCTTGCTCTGTTGCCCAGGCTGGAGTGCAGTGGCACGATCTCTGCTCACTGTAACCTCCACCTCCTGGATGCAAGTGATTCTCCTACCTCAGCCTCCCAAGTAGTTGAGATTACAGGTACCTGCCACCATGCCCAGCTAATTTTTGTATTTTCAGTAGAGATAGAGTTTCACCATGTTGCCCAGGCTGGTCTCAAATTCCTGACCTCGAGTGATCCATCTGCCTCGGCCTCTCAAAGTGCTGGGATTACAGGCGTGAGCCACCACTTGCAGCTTAAAGCAGATACTCTTTATTCATCTTTGTATTCCCAGAATCCTCCAGCCCTCTATATAGTGGGTATTTAGTAGTAGATACATACATTGAATGAATAAGTACCTTGTAAAAGGCTACTACAGTGCCTTCTGCCTTTAGTCCTCATCTACCTAAAAGACTAGCTCTTTAATCAGTGTTTTTATTGTATGTCTCCTCTGGTCAAAAACTTTTTATGAGATAGGGGTTTATTGCTCTATTTTACTGATGAGATAACTCAAGATCAGGATAAATAACTTACCTTACATTATGGAACTAATAAATGAAAAATGGATAATCAAATGGAGGTCTCTGCGGCTCTACCACAATTGTAGCCTTTCTGAAGGCAGGACCACCAGTAAATATCTAATCAATTATATTTGCCAATTTTCTGATCTTGCTGCTTTTCTCCTTCCAAAAAGACTTCACTATGACAAAACCTATCTATAGAAAAATGCTTTAAATTTTTGCTGTTTTTAAGTGACTTGATATATTTTTATTACCTCTTAGATTTACTTTCTATGATGGTCCTCCTTTTGCAACTGGACTGCCTCACTATGGACATATACTTGCAGGGACAATTAAAGATATAGTTACAAGATATGCTCACCAGAGTGGGTTTCATGTTGACAGAAGATTTGGATGGGATTGTCATGGCTTACCTGTGGTATGTTTGAGTATCCAGCTTTATAGTGGTGTGATTTTTTTAATAAGCATTAGGTTTTATCATATAGTATGTTAAATACGAATGTTGACTGTAGACCTTTTCTTCTACTTCATTTCTATATTTGTAGTTCGATTTGTTTTATTTTCTAGAGTTGCATAGTTGCATTTGTTTCATGGGGCACGGTGGTAACAATCTTATCACAAATTTTCAGGAATATGAAATTGATAAGACACTAGGAATCAGAGGACCAGAGGATGTGGCCAAAATGGGGATTGCAGAGTATAACAGTCAGTGCCGAGCAATTGTGATGAGATATTCTACTGAGTGGAAGGTATGTTGGGTTATAGAATGAACAGAAAATGTCGTTATTAAATGGGCATTGAGATGGTTTATGGTCCCTTGTGCTTTTTTAATTTATTAATTTTTTCTTTGTAGAAGAACTGTTAGCTTAAACTGAACCATTTTCTGACTTCTGTGTGCTTAATTGGTCTACCTTTCTTGACCGATCACGAATAGGGAAAAATTTTGATAATTATAACATGGATATGGGCCTCTTCTTTTTTTCTCAAATGCTTTAAAAATTTTTTTAACTTTTTATTTTGAAATAATTTGACTTATTAAACAATTGCAAAAATAAAATTAATTCCCCTGTATTTTTCATCCTTCTTTCCCAACTGCTAACATCTTCAATAACCGTAGTATTAATAGAATTTTCAACAGCAATTGCCCCATTAATTTTTATTTGGACCAATCACATCCTGCATTTAGTTGTCATGATTTCTTAGTTTTCTTAAGTATGGGACATTTTATTCAGTCCTTTGTCTTTCATGGCCTTCTCATTTCTGAAAATTGTAGAGCAGCTATTTTATAGAATGTCTCTCGATGTCTGAGGTTTCCTGATTTAATTTAGGTTATGCATTTTTGGTGAAAATGCCACAGAATTGATGCTGTGCTCTTCTCAGTGCATCATATCAGGTGGCATGTGTTGTTGCTATGTCCAGTGATGGTGATAACTTTGTTCATTTGATTAAGATGCTATCTGTCAGCCTTCTGCTTTGTAAAGTTGTAGTTTTTCCTTTGTAATTAATAAGTATCTTATGGAGAGATTCTTTCCAAATATTACTCTTTTTTTTTTTTTTTTTTTTTTAAGACGGGCTTTCACTATGTTGGTCAGGCTGGTCTTGAACTCTCGACCTCAGGTGATCTGCCCACCTTGGCCTCCAAAGTGCTTGGATTACAGGCGTGAGCCACCACGCCCAGCCCCAAATATTCTTTTTCTTGTCATACATTCACTCATTAATGTTAACATCTGTGAATGATTGATGCCAGCCTGTGGTATTTGCCAAGTGATGGTTTTGGTAGCCTCGTATAAATGAATATTTATACTTAAAAATAACGTTTTGTGCATGTAGAATGAGTGCCAAGAAAACTGGTTCTTAACCTTACCTAGAATGTTGTTTGAAATATAGATTTACTCATACCGTTGATTATTCTGTTTTCCAAAATTTCCGTATGTGGTGACAATAGAAGTAAATACACATTGACGTACAATTATAAATATTGTCTAATACTGTTCTATATTAATATTTTAAAGTCTACAGTTACCAGACTTGGCAGATGGATTGACTTTGACAATGACTACAAAACTCTGTATCCAGAATTCATGGAAAGTGTCTGGTAAGTTTATTTAAAATTGTAAATATGATAAATATTCTACGAATATTCTGTTGTATTGGTTATTGGAAAAGTACACTAGCATGAATCCGTTTATTTTGGAGTCCATCATTATTTCTCCGAAATCTCTGGGCATAGATTTGTTGTTGAATGTAGGACTTTGATTTTTTTGAGAGTCTGGCTCTGTTGCCCAGACTGGAGTACAATGGCATGATCTTGGCTCACTGCAACCTCTGCCTCCCGGGTTCAAGTGAATCTCCTCCCTCAGTCTCCTGGGTAGCGAGAATTATAGGCACCCCTGCACCCGGCTAATTTTTGTATTTTTAGTAGAGATGGGATGTCACCATGTTGGCCAGGCTGGTCTCGAGCTCCTAACCTAGGTAAGCCACCTGCCTCGGCCTCCAGGAGTGCTGAAATTACAGGTGTGAGCCACTCCATCCAGCCTGCCAATTGCTTTTCTTTTCTTTTTTTTTTTTTTTTTTTTTTTTTTTTTTGAGACAGCGTTTCACTCTTGTTACCCAGGCTGGAGTGCAATGGTGCAATCTCTGCTCACTGCAACCTCCGCCTCCTGGGTTCAGGCAATTCTCCTGCCTCAGCCTCCTGAGTAGCTGGGATTGCAGGCACGCACCACCATGCCCGCTAATGTTTTGTATTTTTAGTAGAGACGGGGTTTCATCATGTTGACCAGGATGGTCTCGATCTCTTGACCTCGTGATTCACCTGCCTCAGCCTCCCAAAGTGCTGGGATTACAGGCTTGAGCCACCACGCCCGGCCAATTGCTTTTCTTAATCAACATTATGTTTTAAACGTCATTCAATGTTAGTAGATATTAGCATTGTAATGTCTGCCTAATGTCTTACTATATTGATCTAATTTACCAGCTAGTCTCCCAATGAAAGACATTGTTTTTTTCACTTATTTGGCAGACAGGCACTCTAAACAGAAAATGGCATAAACGTTTGCATTTTCAGAAATAGAATTTTGGTTATATAATTGTGAAACTCCATCTCTTATCAGGTGGGTCTTCAAACAACTCTATGATAAAGGCCTTGTTTATAGAGGTGTGAAAGTCATGCCCTTCTCTACTGCATGTAACACTCCACTTTCCAACTTTGAGTCACACCAGAATTATAAGGTACGTGGAATGTAGAGACATTATTCAGCATTGAGTTTTGTAGGTAGAAGTTGAATGGTTATGATCACAGTAGGTATTCCCAAGTAGACCCGGTGTGGAATGTTGCCCATGCCATCAGTCACTTTGACCACTTATTACTGAGTGCTGGAAATATTGCCAGTTACTGTACTAAAGCTCTGTTAAGATGAGGGATTTGTTTTCTACATTGGAGTTATGATGTATCTTAATGTAATAGGTTTTGCTTGTTTTGACCAAGAAAAAGATTTTAATTTTGACATATTTTCAAACTCACAGAAAAGTGGAGAGAGTTGTTTATCTCCTTCAACTAGAGTCCCTAAATG